TCTAAGGACAGGACAATGCCTTTAGGACATAATACAATTAACTGACTACCACTGAAATAGTGAAAAACACAAGGCTCACTACATTGCACAACTTCCCTGGAACATCTCAATCACCAAATCCCAGAACCCTAAAAACAAAGGAAAAAAAAACCCATCCACTCACTCAGCCATTTTCTCAGCCACTCCAGAAACATGCTGCTGTCACTGAAGTTTCTGGAAACCAAATAAACAGAGATTTTATTTCCTTGTAGCCAGCCTCCATTTTATTTCTAGCAATTTTAATCCGGCTTGGAACCGGGCTGGATTTTTCTTCCCGTAGCTTGTTACATTAATACAGCAATTATGTTTCCCTAATTCAGATTTGCCTTTAAAAAGCGTGCGTGAACCAAATCTAAGCTTGTTGAGACCTATCACCAAATTGTAGGGATTATGTACACGTCCATCCTCATGAATGCATGGATGCACACATATATGTCAATTGTATGCTGCAATGAGTCCAAAAACTATTGGCTGCAGCCAAAAAATCCTTGAATTTCATTTCACTTTCATACTTTGCTTTCCCATCAAAATTGCAATTTGTGGAACAAACAAGGGCAACTTTCTTTAGTTGTAAACAATCTTGGCTGTAATGTATGGCTGTGAAAGTAGGACCATAAGAAAGGCTGAGTGCCAAAGAATTGAGGCCTTTGAACTCTGGTGCTGGAGAAGACTCCTGCGAGTCCCTTGGACTGCAAGGCAATCAAACTGGTCAGTTCTAAAAGAGATCAACCCTGCTGCTCTTTGGCCACCTAATGAGAAGGAAAGACTCACTGGAGAAAACCCTGATGCTAGGAAAGATGAAGGGCAAAAGAAGAAGGGGATGACAGAGAATGAGGTGGCTGGATGGAGTCACTGAAGCAGTAGGTGTGAGCTTGAATGGACTCCAGAGGATGATAGAGGACAGGAAGGCCTGGAGGAAAGTTGTCCATGGGGTCGCAATGGGTCAGATACGACTTTGCAACTAACAACAAACAATTGGGGGGGGGGGAGGGAGAGAGTGAAACAAAGTTGAAGCATTTCTACCCCCACCCCCAAATAATGTGGTTGGCCAATGTCCAGAAAAGGAAATCTGGTGGTTCAGCTAAGCAGCTTGACACAATTTCCTTTCACCTTTTTTTAAACCTTCACTCAGACATTTCCACACTTCAGAATCTCTCCGGGCACCACCTTGTCTCTCTGACCTTTTAACTGGGATTCAAAAAGCAAGCCCTGAAGATACACATTCCTTGTGAAGTATTAATAGAAAAGAGTTATTATTTTCCCAGGGTTGGCTTCTGCATGGAATAATAAACCAGGATGCCTTCTCCCCATGGGCCTTTTACCCAGAGGAATACCTTTGATGGCCCTCCAGACAGAGGCAACCTTCAAAGCCTTTAAAAGGGATCAAGAGCTTTTCCTCTCCCCGCCCACCAAGGGAATAAAGCAGGCTGAAGTCCAACTTTCAGCTCTGCATGCATAACTGATGCAAACTTTCTTTTCGCCTCTCCTTCTGACTCATGGTTATAAGGTAAATGCAGCCATTTGCAAAAGGTTGTTTAGGCAAGCCGAGTGTAGTAGAAGGAAGTTGGGGTGTTTTGACTGCAGTAATGTATCAGGCTATGGCTCTGATTAATTATTATTAAAAATAATGATGATGATGATGATGATGATGATGATGATGATGATGATGATGATGATGATGATGATGTAAATAAAGGAGGCCTTTTGAAGACAACTAAGTCAAAAGCTGAATATAAGAAAGAAGTAATTGAGAAGCGAGCTGAAAATTGGAAAAGCAAAGCTATGCATGGCCAATACTTGAAAAATGTCGAAGGCAAAGCTGACCAAAAGCTAACTTGGAACTGGTTAAGATCAGGAGTACTGAAAAAAGAAACAGAAGCCTTTATTTTGGCAGCTCAAGAACAAGCCTTAGCCACAAACTGCCTGAAAGCAAAAATTCAACCAACAGCAAATGTCGCCTCTGTAATGAGAAAGACGAGACAGTCGACCACTTGATCAGTGGGTGCAGCAAAATTTCACAAACTGACTACCTACAACACCATGACCGTGTTGCTAAGATCATTCACTGGAAATTGTGCCAAAAGTTTGGATTTGAGTACAGCAAAAACCACTGGGAACATCAGGTTGAGAAGGTTTTAGAGAATGAGAAAGTCAAGATCTTGTGGGACTTCAGAATCCAGACTGACAGGCATTTGACCCACAACACACCTGACATAATAGTTGAAAAGAAAAAAGTATTGACATTGCAATACCTGGTGATGCGCAAATTGAAGATAAGCAGCAAGAAAAAATCACAAAGTACTGGGACTTGCAAATAGAAGTTGAGCGACTGTGGAAAAAGAAATCGTGCATTGTTCTGATTGTAATTGGAGCCCTTGGAGCAATACCTAAAGGGCTACCTCGCTATTTCGAAATTTTAAATTTATCAGACTTGAACATTCTGATTCTACAAAAACCACCCTACTTGGAACAGCTTATATCCTCTGGCGTTACCTTAACAGTGCCTAGGTCCTTGGTTAGGACTTGAGCTGTTGAACTACAAACCAGCCCCAAAGGCTGTGAATCTCACCAAAGATTATGCAATAATAATAATGGTTTTCATTTGTTCTCACAGACACAGGACTGTTTTGGCCTTGCTTATTCAAGACCAAGGTAGAACTGTGCCAAGTTTTACTCTCTGGATAATTAGAGCTACTTCCTGAAGAAAATTAAAAAGTTTTACAGAGATTTTCTTTGCACAACAATGGGAAAAGGACAGAGGAAGGACTAAACCCACTATCTGCCAGCAGAACCTCCTGCATCCTAAACCGGGGCTCAGAAGTTAGATCCAGTCAAACTCCTTTCTCATAGCTGCCACATCAGAACTGCAGAATTAGGCGTGGCAAACCTCATCTGCTTCCATCCTATGAATGATGCCTGGCGTGCACTCTGCACTCCCTCAGAGAAATGATTTTCTTCCTGCAAGACTAAGAGCAAAGCCACCAAAGAGAGGGGGGAAGAGAGCATCCAGTTTAAACACAGCCTCGAAATAAAACACGATTCTTATCAATGATATTCACCCTTTCTGGGTTATTTGTTCCAACCCCAAACCAAATAGCTGAAGGGGAAAAAATATTAATCAGAGCTAAAAAAAAAAAAAAATAGCGTAGGAAAGCAGACCCAGCCTGCGGCTAGCGTGACGTCACAGCTGCACACTCGGCCGCCTCGTCATTGGAACCTATATGCCCACTAGCGCCCCCCAGCGGCAAGCAAGGACGCGCTTAGTCTTCGCACCTGGGCACGATGCCCGGGGCGGCGAATTGCTGTTTCAGAATCCTTTTGGATCCCGGCAATGTAAGAATTCGGAGATTGCTGTTGCTACTGAAGCCGTCTCCACCGATCGTAGCAGTCAGCCCCTGTCGCTTCCTGAAAGCAGCGCACACGTGCTTAAGCACCGCTGGCGGTTTCCTTCCTCTTGGGGCGCTTAAGCTAGAGGCGAAGGGAGCGATCTGTGGTCCTCCGGGGGCACATCTCGGACGCAGGAACAGTCACTACCCTGCTTTCCCGTCCTATCAGGCTTCTTTCCATGCGCCATCATTAAACGTCCAGAAAGATAAAGCGGCTGAGGACGCAACCAGTCTTTAACATAGCATATCTAAAGGCGAGCATCTAAATAGGCCTCCCTGTTGAGTGGCGCTAACTTCATCCGTGGGAATAGGCCAACGCACGGCATGCTAGCGTAGCGCATGGAAGGATGACCCGGTGGGAATTGGCGATCTGTTTAGAAATTCAGGCCAGCCGAAAATAGTCAAAAGCACAATTCCCGGAAGAAATTGTGCTTGACTGAACTGAATGTGTCTCATACAGTAGACACGTGTGGGGACTTCAGGGCATGGATTTCTTCGCGATTCACTTTTGCTTCGCTGGATTATCCTACTTTGATTCGACATCACGTATAGGATAGGGCGCCGAAGCCTTATCATGAAAAATTGCAATCGGCCCATAATTCGGATTATTTCAGTGTTGCAGGGTAAAACGGTCTACGTGAAAACACTCTCCACATGCCCGTTAGTGACGAAGCATTCCTCCTTGAGGACGCGATCGGTTCAATTGGTTTTATAGTTACGACCCGCATCCCGAATGCCTCCGGGCGCTCATCATCCTTTTCAAAAACGTCATAAAACGAAGGAAAAGGATAAAGGCTATCAGGCCCAGTCCATTTTTTTTCCTCCTATATCCGTTGTGCAGAAACCCTGCCGGTTATTTTACCCCCCCTTCCCGTCACTCGCAGGACAAGGGCAAAAGGGCCCTGGGAGGGGGAAGGTCACCCTTTGGGGCAAGGGCGAGGAAGCGCTCTGCCGCCCAGCACGTTTGCGCCTCGAAGTCCATTCAAAAGCTTCCTTTTGGCAAACTTTGGCCGCCTGTTGCAAATAGCAGCCGAGAAGGAGCTGTACCCTCGCCCATCACTTACTCCGCGTGCTGGACCTGTGCGCAGCCCCGGAAACCTTTTTTTTTTTTAAAGATTCAGAGAGCAAATCAAAGCTGGATTAGCCATGACTCAGTGCATCGTGTCTTTTATTTTCCCCGCTCTCGTTTCTGCAGCCGCCTCTGCCCCCCCTCCCGATGCTCCGGTCTGAAGGAACCCCTTTCCTCAGACAAATGTCCGCGCGCTGCAGGCGAGGATTGGTCCCCTCTCTTGTCCCCCCCCCTCCCCGCATGCCCAATTGGGGATCACAAGGACCGTGGATGCGAAGCAGATCTGAGATAAAGCGGATCTTCCGTGCTACCTCCAGGAAAGCTTACAGCCCCTGCTTTGACTGAGTCTAGACTTCCCAGGGCAACCCGTTCCCACCCCGTCGGAAAATCAGGTCTGCCTAGCCTGCAACACCAGCATCCCCGACCGCAAGGCACCCGCGATTTCCCTACCTTTTCGCCCCGAAACCCAACGCCCCCCACAAGCCTTCCGCCTGGTTGCTCGTTACCCTGAGCATCGCCGCCGCTGGTCAGGACTCCGATGGCTTTGCCTCTGCCCGAGAGGTCCTCGAACAGCTTCTTGTGCGACATAGTTGAGGGGACTCCGGGTGTGGGAGAGGTTGCCGATTTCCGCGGGGAAGAAGGAGAAGGCGGCGGCGAGGTCTCCTGCTGCGGCTGGAAGGCGCCCTGAGCTGCGGGGCTGTGCGTCGTGCGGACGCTGACGCTCTGGATCTTCACCTTGCACACGATTTGGTTCTTGCCTGTATCGTGGAAGAGAGGAGGGGAGAAATCATGCAAGCCGCCCGAGAGATGCGAGGCAAGGCTCCAGCTCCCTCTGCGCAATCCTCCTAACTGCTGCAGCGAAACCTTCTAGCTGCCCGCTGACAGCGCTAAGTCAAGCCGCTTTGGCTCCGCCTTCCCCCCCCCTTTTTTTTTTTTTGAGAAAGTGTCCGTCGGCAATTCTTACAGGCAGGAGAGGCGGCCAATAATGAAGCGCGGTCAGGGCGGGACGAGGGGGGTTACAAGCCTTCGGTAGGTTGCGAGTGATTCTAAGGGAGGAGTGGACAAGGTTTCCGTAAGAAGGGACGCGAAGGGAGAGTGGGAGAGAGAGAGAGAGAATTAACTCGGAGGAATGCCCTCCCCTCGGTTACAATTGAAGTTCCTGGGTGTAGGGAATTCAGCCGGTACGTGGGTAAAAGCACGCCTTCTTTACGTCTGGATCAGCTGCTCAGCCACCGCAGTTGATTACATAACGACGGATTCTTACTTTGCACAGAATACTCGACGTTGGTAAGACTACAACCCCCAGGGTTAATATTAGCAGCCTTATTATCCAGGCATTCTGGGAGTTGAAGTCAATGTATCTGGAAGGAGGAGTGGAGGGAGCGATCATAAGCCAAATTTAGAAGGTATATTTTGTAGAAATATACTCTGTACAGCTCTGTACAGAGTACAGCTCTGTACAAATAAACCGTAGTGCACCGCGATGTGTTTACCTAGAACAATTACTAAAATTGTTCATTGTTTTATCCAGTGCACAAAATTATTACTTTTATGGATGATTTAACCTCCAACCTCCAACCAGCTTTTAGAAATCAGGTGGATTCAGAACCTCCAAAAACCTAAGACAAACAGATTACATTTCTAATTGGATTAGTATCATTTTTGTATTACATTCTTTCCATAACTTATTGAAAATGGAAGAGTATTCTCTCCTTTTTGGGTGGTGATTATAGATCAGTGGTTGTTCTTTTTTAAATGAGGACTTTAAGATAATAGCATTCTGGTAGTTGAAGCCCACACATCTTACAGTTATGAAATTTGAAAAAAACCAAAACATGTTTTATACCCTTCATTCATAAAGATCTCTACTTAACCTAGAAAAATAGATCTATAAATTCAGATGATCTACATCATTCCAATATCTCTGACTCACATCAGTAGTCTGCTAAAGGTAAAGGTTTCTCTTGCACATATGTGCTAGTCCTTCCCAACTCTAGGGGGCGGTGCTCATCTTCGTTTCAAAGCCGAAGAGCCAGTGCTGTGCGAAGATGTCTCCGTGGTCATGCAGACAGAATGACTTAAACACCAAAGGTGCACAGAACATCTTCCCACCAAGTGGTCCCTATTTTTCCACTTGCATTTTTACATGCTTTCTAACTGCTAGGTTGGCAGAAGCTGGGACAAGTAACGGGAGCTCACTCCATTACACGGCACTAGGGATTCGAACTGCCGACCTTTCTGATTGGCACATTCAGTGTCTTAGCTACTGAGCTACCGTGGCCCTACAGTTTAGGTTGCTAAACTGATATACAAAACATGCCTCAAAAACTAACAATTTGGGACTACCAAATCTGAGTTGCAACAACATGGAATAACCCCTAGATAGTAATCAAGACGCCAACTTCATTAAACCTTTGCTGCCATATGTTGTCTGGAAACTTGCAGTCCAATATAGTCCAATTTAGATGAAACCTAAAGGTAGTACGTAATTTAAGTCATCAAATGTGTGCTAAATAGTAAGATTTGAGGACATTATGTGATCCCTGACTCCATATAGACACAAAGCAGTCATTTTCTTTCCGATTTCCATGAAACTATCAGATCTGGAAGAGCTTTCGATCCATTGAATTAAACCTTATTCTTATTATGCAATTATAAAATATTTTTTAAAAAATGGTTTATTTGCTTATTTATTTCTATTCTGCTTTATTATTTTTACAAATAACCCAAGGCAGTAAACATATCCAACACATCTTTCTCCTCCTCTTTTCCCTTCAACAACAACAACCCTGTTAGGTGGGGCTGAGAAAGAGTGATTGTCCCAAGGTCACCCAGCTAGTTTTTGTGGCTAAAACAGGGCTTGAACCTTGGGAAGGAATGCTTTGCTTGCCTTTAAAAGCAAGCGTCCAGGCTACTACATGTTTAGAATTACTTAATTGTACTGACCAACCCATAGGACGTGGTGGCTCAGTGGCTAAAATGCTGAGCTTGTTGATCAGAAAGGTCGGCAGTTTGGTGGTTCGAATCCCTAGCGCTGCATAACGGAGTGAGCTCCCATTACTTGTCCCAGATTCTGCCAACCCTAGCAGTTCGCAAGTATGCAGAAATGCAGGTAGAAAAAATAGGGACTACTTTGGTGGGAAAGTAATACCGTTCTGTAGGCCTTCAGCATTTAGTCATGCCAGCACATCCCTTCTGCTGCAGTTATTAAACAAGTCACCGTAAGTAAATAAGACATCATGTAATCATGCAGTTGCAGTTTTCCTATCAGCTTTTCCAATGACTTTGCATGCCAGAAGCCAGCTACAAAACACCTAAATCATTGCTGCAAACATACCATTTTGACATAAATGTGAGCGCTGGTCATAAAGTTACTTTTCAGCGACATCATAACTTTGAATAGTAGCTAAATAAGACTGTTCATAAGTGAGGTCTACCAGTACTGGTCCTTCTACATAGTATTTTTTTATATTTACATACACACACGGAGATGCACATGTATACCTCTGCATACACACCTAGTTCATACTTTGAATATTTCCTGTCTAAATATTTTTCATTTTTTTTAAAATTTATCCTTTTCAGAAAGGGAATACAATACAATAGCAGTTGATTCAGGGTTAACTTCTCCTTTTCTGTTGCAGATAAATTAGCTAGAATGCTTTGCATACTTAATTGCCAGCCTTATCAGTTAGGAACAGAAAGGCAATTAGTAATTAACCCACTTTATAGATTATCCTCTATTAGGGGTGTGAATATTTCCAGCTCCTTATGATTTATTGTTTGCTAATGATCACAGATCTTTGGTTTGGAAAAGTGCATAAAATCTACGCCAACTTGTGTATTGGGAGCTCTAGATTTGTGATGTCTTCTCAAAAGCACACCTCTTTGTGCTGTATAGAATTAACAGGTTACAATTTCCCATATGATCATTGGCTACTTTGCACCAGGAAAAATAAATTCAACGTTTGGGTGGGCCAATTAACAATTTGGCCATCAGTGCTATTGATCTATGAGGCATTTTGGAATTTCCATGTTGTCTCCTTTCAAACTAGGTTCCCCCCCCCCCTGCCACTTCCAAGTCTAAAGATGGTTGGGCAGGTGCTGTTGAACTGAGATAGAGCAAGTATAAATGGTAAAACGGACGACACAGACAATAAACAAAGCAGTAAACTAGCAGTAAATCCTAGTTAGTCCAGTAGGAATGAACTACTTCTAATCATTCTGGTTTTTAAAAAGCATCAGGTACAAAATATTTAATCAAGGTTACTTGTGGGAGACAGTTTTCTAACATAGGTAGCCCTTGCTTATGTGTACTATGAGATAACTTTCTGACTTCTGTACTTGTTCATTCATTTTCTTTCTTTTATATAATATTTCGTTTTTTTCCCCTTGTGGACTTACGTTCCGTCATTTTCTTGCCGGTTTTGTTGGGTTTTGGCATAAAGTTGGACTCTGGTTCTTTGTATTTTTGTTCTCGTCTCTTTCAAAAAGCTGGAACCTGGTTTTTGTCTACAAACTTGTCCTCCATCACAATACTCTGACTTTGAGAGTGCTTCTTTTTTCTCCCCTCTTTCTCTCTCTCTCAGATCAACTGTCCTCAACTGCCATTTGGAACTGGAATTGGAATATTCTTTATTGGCAACACACAACAAAGTGATGTCATAGACCCTTAATCATAAGATACAGTCATAAATCATAAAACACAAACAATAAGTCATAAATCATAAGATACCACAGTGGCGGGTTGCAATTAATTTTAATACTGCTTTGCTCATGTGCAGAAGTGTCTGGGTGGGTGGGCAGAGCATCCTGCTGCTGCCACTACTGGTTCATCTACTCCGGGGCAAACCAGCAGCAACCCACATGTGAGATACCAGTAAGATAGGAAAGATGAGAAGATGAGAAAGAGATGGGTAATAACAATACAGATCTACTACATGGATAGATATTCTTTAAGCATAAGACAGTGCTCAGTAGAGTTATGGCATGGGGGAAAACTATCTTTGTGTCTAATTGTTTTGGTATGCAATGCCCTATTGTGATGTCCTGAGGGGAGAAGTTGAAACAGTTTATGTCCAGGATATGAGAGGTATATAAATATTTTCTCAGTCCTCATTCTGGCTCCTGCAGTATACACATCTTTAACGGAAGGCAGGCTGGTTGTAAAATGGCTTTAATTATTTAATAATTTCTCTGTAGAACTGTATCAGCAGATCCGTGGGCCACCTGAGCTTTCTGATTTGACTCAGGAAAAACATTCTTTGATGTGCCTTTTTAATGAAGGTTCCAAGGTTAGTTGACCATTTCACGTTCTGGCAGATTATAGAACCCAGAAATGTGAAGGTCTCCACTCTTGATAACTGTGTTGTCTAATATCATAAGAGGTGATAAAATAGGAGAGCTTCTCCTAAAATCTCTCCAGTTTTAAGAGGCTTCAGCTTCAGATTGTTCCCACTGCACCTCAATTGTTCCACCTGCCATCTGTATGCAGATTCATCATCATCTGGAATGGGACTGATGACTGTTGTATCATCTACAAACTTCAGTACTTTAGCAGAGGTATCCTTTGAGATGCAGTCATTGGTATATAGCCGTGATGGCAAACCTTTTCGGCACTGAGTGCCCAAACCGGAATGCACATGTGCATGCATATGTGCACCGGAGCACCAGAAACCCGAAGACCAGCTGGTCAAGAGCAGTTGGCAATGGTGCACGTGCCCACAGAGGGCTCTGTGTGCTACCTCTGGCACAGGTGCCATAGATTTGTCATCACGGGTATATAGAAATAAAAGCCTAATGGAGAGAGCATACAGCCCTGCGGAGCTCCCGTGCTAACTGAACG